TTGCTCCAAAGCCGTCTTCTTTGTGCACTGAAAAGGAGGAAAGACAACCCCATCAATTGTTCTCTGCAGATAAAGGCACTGTTTTGCAGATTTCCCCCCAGATCTGGGCCAGCCTTGCTAATGACCTGCCCACCCACCTGGGGCCCTTCCCAAGGTGGCCCACGGGAACTGCCCCACACCTTCAGGAGCCAAATGCGTGACACTGGACAACCCCAAGAGGTCTGACTTTTCCGTTTGGCCGTTGGTCTCCACGAAGACGCAACCTGGAAGAGTTCGAGCCGTTTATTTTCCTAGAGGAGCTGAGGTTCAATTACTACTCTTTTTAAAATCTTACATTTTCTTTTCCCTCACAAAAGACACATCTGAAGGTGAATCTGCAGCATTTTTCTACGGAGAAAACACGAGCTCGAGATCCCAGAGCTACCAGGGGTTCTTTCAACGCCAGCATTAAGGCAGTTAAGCAAAAGCTGAATTTTCGGAATTCTGGCCTTTTTTTCCCTTAACATAAGACCACCAGCTGTTAGGGCACACACCAAAGCTACAGTGCCAATTTTCATAGGCTCACGTTTAAATGAGATATACAGAAAACGGAGCCTGGGCAACGTGTAGGGGTCGAACTAGCAATGGCACACTTGTCTGTTGAAGAGCCGGGGCATTTTCTTGGAAAATGGTGCCTACGTGTTCATAGGCTTCGCCACTGTCCTGAAAGAGAACATACTATCCACTCTTGGGGCATTTTTAGGGACTCAAAGGTTCTGTGGAATCCCAACCGGGGCCTGATAACTCGAAATGGCATCCCCTACCCATGGGAGCTCCGGGAGGGGGCGTTTTAAGTCGGGCCAGGTGGGTGAGGAGGCCTCTGGCGGGTTTTTTGTCCAAATCCCATGGGAACCCCAAACCCAAAAAGCACACGCCAACTTCCCAGGAGAATGCCCAGGAAGAACTTCTTCGCTTCCGTTTTTTTTTAACAATTTTGCGCTCAACCGCCACGACCTACATTCCTCCGCGAGGCGCCCAGAGCTGAGGAATAACAACGGAGTTTAAACTACATAACAGTTCGGCAGCCTGTAGTCTGCGCTTTGCTGCGCTCCGCGGGGGTTCGCATCCGGCCGCCATGTTCACGACTCGAAAGCCGCCCCAAAACCAGCCCCCCTTCCCACATCCCTCTCCTCTCCTCCCCTCCCTCCCAGCTCAACCAAGGCCGCGGCACTGCAAAGCCGCTTTCAACTCTACCCCCCACCCCCTCGCAGCAAAATCCGACTCGACGGCTGCGAGGTGTGCGCCTGCGCGCGGCGCGGGGAGGGCGCGGGAGTGGGAGGCCTACGGGCCCCCGGGCCGGGGCTTGAAAAGGCCGGAGCCACGGGGAAGCGGGGGAGGGGTTGGGGTCCCGGCCGGAGCCTCCTCTTTCCTCTCAGCGGGTCCCCGCTCCGGCCCTGGCCCGGCTCTCACACGTGCGCGCTAAAAACCCACTTCAAAGTCTGTTCCCGGCACGGGGGCGGCCCCTTTTGCGCCGGCCCCTGGGCACCCGCGCGGGCGGACAACCAGTTCCCGGGCCTCGCAGCCCCCTCTGTCCCAGGCGCTGCGAAGAGGCCGGAGGGGCCGAGCGAGAGAGGACGTTCGCTGATGACCCCCGGGAGCCGCAAGCGGCCTTCGGGTGGACGAATACCTCCCTGCCCCCAACCCCCACCGCTTTAGAAAATTGAATTGAACACAAAGTTTGCGGCCAGCGCTACGCAGTGGCCTTCGGAGCTCACCATTGTTTGGGCTCGTATTGACCCCAGGTCCGGATTAGGCAGAGGCTGATTCCTGCTTTACAGCCCCGCCGGCCTAATGAGGCCGGGAGGCGATGGGGCGCGAAGCGTCCTCAGAGCCTGGGCGACCGCCGGCTTACGGCCACCAAGGGCCCTGTAGGTGGAGGTCAAAGGGTCAGCGGGCAGAGACCGCGAGAGAATTGACCCTAGGAAATGAGGTCCCTTCCCCCCGCCCGAGCCTCGACAGAGACTTGCAAGAACTTGGTGTGTGGACAGGGACCCTGGGAGCCCCCGCGAGGGGCCCGAGGACAGCTGAGCTGGAGCCCCGACTTCCGAAACGCCTGGCCTCGCCGCCTCTGCCCCGGCCCGGGCCAAGGATCCACTGGAGGCTTGGGACTCGAGGGACAGAAACCTGTGAGAGGAAACCAGTCTAGGTGCCAGGAAAATCTCTTCAGGCGATGGGCACGCTGCTGGCGATTCTTCCACAAACTTACATGTTAAGAGGCCCTTCGACTTTGCTCCTCTGTTTTAGGGAGCTTTTTTGAAGGGGGAGAGAGAGCCAGGGCGAAGAGGCAGAGACATCAGGCTGGGAGAAGGGAGAAGGGGGAGGAGCGAGGAAGTCCTGAACACTCCAACTTTTCCTGGGAGGCTTTGTGAGTGGAGGTCTCTGCTCACTCATGTCCAACTTTAGTAATTTAGATCGACCGGCCTGCTTAGCGTGGACCCTGTCCTGATCTTTAACCTTCCGAAGCTGGATGAAGGCCAAACTTCTGTCTTGCATGGAAATAGCCACCTCCCTTTTGCCTAACAGTGGAAATCTTCTTATGCAAAATCACTCATTTTGAAAAAGGGACTTTCAACAAAGATCTTACAAGGTGCAAGAGGAAAAGTAACAAGTTGATTTATACTAAGAGTCTGGCCCATGCCTCGGGCTTGAGCATTTATGAGTTTTTTTTTTTTTGGGGGGGGGGACTTACTCTCTAAGGTTGTTTACTGAACATTCAAGAATGTAATTGTGCACTCCCAGAGCCAGATTATAGAGGGGAAATCTGTGAAAAGTTTTCTATCAAAATAAGGAGTTTTCTTTACCGCAAATGACAAGGGTGGAGGACATGATTTTGAGAAATATGATGCTATACCCAAATTAGATGTAATGATCTACACGGGCAAAACTTTATATTCTCCTAATATTGGTTATCATAATTGTTTTTCATTTAATTGATATCTTCCCCTTTTAGGACACTCAGAATACTTTCCTGTAAAATTTTATGGTGGAATAATTTCAAGTAAGAAAAGATCAAACTGCTCTTTCTCTCTTAAGGAGATATTTAATACATTTAATTGCAACGGAGGCAAATTTTTGGTGGAATCTTGTACCCAACACAGGGCTCTACTTCCATTTAAAGTTAGGTTAGATTGAGGGTGGGGGAGGGAACTCATGGAGAAAGTGATAAATTATGGAAATTCATTGTACAGTTCAGAAGAAAAATATACTATTTAGACTTCACAATGGAACACACTTAGAGCCAGTCTTATGAATATATACTTTCTGAGAACTTGCTGAGCATTTAAAATGGTCTCTGGTTTGAGGTGAAGGAAAAAACCTGAAATAGGAATCTGGTCCAGCACCCTCAATGTCAAGGTCAAGATCGGAATGTCTGGGTTGGGAGTGATAGACTGACCAGGTTACCTGCTCGTCACATGTGGAGTCATCCCAATCTCCGTTCATGGCATTCAGGCTTGGATATTGGTGGAAGAAAATGCAAAAGACCCCATTATTCTCCACTAACAAAAAATAGCCTCCAAAGCAATTTGCAATTAGAAACTGTCAATAATTGTCTGTTGACAAAGATCAGTAGATAACTTAAAATAGATTGCTTCAACTGCGTGAATTCACAGAATCAAAGTTTCTTTTAATCATCAGAAGTTCTATAAACATTTCAATTTCAGATTGATTTATTTGAACATGAAAAAAAAATCAGGCACCAAATACAAAAATGTTATAACATAAATAAGATGTGCCAAGACTTTATTTCTTCAAAAAGAACAATAAACAAAATTCTAGAATTGAAAATGATCATATATAATACCAAATTGACTGCCACCAAAAACCTAGAGCATTGCCCCTTAAAGGAGGTACTTAAGCCTATTCAATACATTTCTAAATACTTTACAATTCCTTATCTCCACCTTTCTGTTATTCATGCAGAGATTGGGCTCAATAACAAACAGCACCCTAATAAAAAAGGTCTCAATACTCTACCCACTCCAGCCCCCCCAATAGCAATCAATTTCTTTTCCATATAACCATTGTAAAAGAACTGTTTGTCCAAAGGAGTTGCTTCACTGAAGATTAAATGGATTGTTAACATTTCATCACAAAGCAAACAACCGTTTTTCATTGTTATTGATTTTAATGGAAACAATGCTCTTAACATCTTTGCCTACAAATCATGAACTTTAAAAATACATATTTTGCAATTTTTTTCCATAGCATCATTTCAGAACTGCTGCAGTTATTACACCGCTATATAAATGTTATGGATAATTGCGATAATGATGAACTATATACAGCAAACAAATCAGCCTTTGCCTTCCAAAATTGTAAATGGACTATGGTTCTTTTAAGAAGCACTTTAACCATAAGTAAGCAATGCTCAACTGGCCTTACTCATCACCACTGTTTCAGACATAAGCTATCTTTTGAAAATATATAGATAGCTACTAGATAGATAAGTCATAGATACAAACATATATAGGTATATGGGTGATCTCTAGATAGAAAACACAGACATGCATCCTGCCGCAATTTTCATTTTTATGTAAGGTAATAAAGAACTAAGGGACATAAAATTCATTAGGTTACCTTATGTTTATATATGTAGGGCAGGGATGATTAAATCCAGCTTCTCAGTCTTTGAAGTACAAGATTGAGATGTCATGGCCACTAACTGAATTGATCAGTAATATTTGATTTGCATGCCGAAAATCCAGGACAAACACATTTAAACTCGCAGTTAAACAACCATCTGAGATAGAGATAAAGAAAGGAGAGTCTTCCCAGATGGAAACTGACACTGTAAGGAATTTATACTGTAATAGAAAAATAATTTAACAATTAAAAAAGGGATCTGAGTGAGTTATAAATACCAACAAACAAGATTTAATTTGCTCACATCTCCTCTTTGTAGAAGAAGGCTGTTACAAAACAAGAGAAAGGAGTCAGTGGTTCCAAAATTGTAAATTGTGTTCTTCTTTCAAAACAATAAAATTTTAATGCTAAAGCAGTTATAATCAAAAGCTGTACAGAGCTTGTTAGAAAACATTTATCCATAAATATTGTTCAGTTCCCGGCACTTGTAGCAATAATTAAATTACAAACGATAAATATGGCATCAATGGATATGTATTTACAAAAAAAAAAAGTTATTACAAAAGGCAACTGTATACTAAACGTCACAATCTGTGTAGAGTAACATCACATCCTCAGCCTGAAAAAAATACTGAACAACAGTTTCGACCCTATTAGACAAAAATACATTCACAAGTGTAATGCTTTGAGGAAAAGTTCAAGACATAACAGGACTTTGGCACGGTTTAAGACTGTGAGAGTTTAAACAATCACCACTAAGGCGAAAAAGAATTTCCATCAGTTTAACATCACCACCACCAACAAGCCTTCTATAACTTCCTCTCGAGAAACAGGACAACTGTTAAAATGAATTGCAGGAGTTTAAGAATGGGGTGTGCAGACAGCAAGAGGAAGGGGAAGAAAAAGCAGTGTAAAGATTTTGTAAAAAATGCTTCAAATGCCAAAACATATTTTCTAATCCTGAGAAAAGGGCATGGCTACTTTTGGATCTTGCCCAAAACCTTCCTGGACAATTGCAATTAACAAGATGTAGCCCTATATATGGCCTCTTGCCTTAAAACTCCATTTCCATCTGATTGGTCTCAGTTTTCTTTTAAAAATGCATTTGGTCCATTCTATAGTTAACAGGGTTTGTGTTTGTCCTCAGACGTACCATTCGTTAAAATTAGGAGGAAGTCCAGGGTTGTGGCTGGTGCTAGTTTGAACTGCAGAAGGGGTTTTAGTGGTATCTTTACTGTTTGCAGAAGCTATAGCGGGTGGAGTGGAAGATTCATAGCCTGAACTGGCAGCAGGGGAGGAATCTGACCCTTGAGATTCATGAACCTAAAATTAACATGTATATATTATAATGAATATAATTCCAACTGGCAATGTGCAAGCAAAAACAAGAGCAGAATTCGAGCACTGTAACAACAAGACCGCCCAGTGACCCACTTAAAAGAAAAATGCTGCTTTAAAAAAAAAATCCATATTACCGATGTCTAGAAAACCCAGAGATGTTCGCTAAAAACCAGTTTTGCTCCGAAGACTGGTATTATGGAAAAGGAATAAAGCACTCCGTTTTGGTCATGCCACTTCAAAAATGCTTTCTCCACGGATGGAGTGGGGTAAGCAGCTACACTGTGAGGTCCTATAAAATACTAAATCCGGGCCCAGGTTTCATCAAGCCCGTTTCGGCTTGGGAAAGCAGGTACAGAGAAGGTGGCACAGGGGCCCTGAGCGCTGCGAGGTCGCAGACAAATGTGTGGGAATCAGATCGCGCTCCTCGGCCCTATTGTTTTATCCGAAGCCAAAGAGCGAATGAACCACCCACCCCCGGGTTCGGCGCGGCTACTCTCGGTTCCCACCGCGGGCTGAGTCGGGAAGAGGCGGCCACGGCAGTCCCGTAAGCCTAGGCGAGCTCGGCTAGAGCTTCCCAGTAAACAACCGATTGTTCCCTCCGCTTCCTCCCCCTCCCAACTTTGCTCACTCCTGCCCCCACCCCGCCCGGTCCCCAAAATGGGTTCAAGGTGTCACTGCTGGAGCAAATCGGATTTAACGTGGAGGACAGAGGGTGGGCAGCGCGGGCGCTTCCGTTCCGCGGCCCGGCGTCGGGCCGAGTGTTTACAAACCGCCGACCGCTAATAAAGAGGTAATTACCTTCATGTGTTTGCGCAGGGAGCTCGGGTGCGTGTAGGACTTGTCGCACACTTTGCAGATATAGGGCTTGTCCGAGGTATGCACATGCATGTGCTTCTTACGGTCGCTGCTGTTGGCAAAGCGTCTGTCACAGCCTTCAAATTCACATTTGAAAGGTTTCTCACCTGCAAAAGGCAAAAACCCAAAGGGGGTAAAATACGGTCAGCGCCGGAGTTTCCCAGAGGCAAGCAGCAGGAGACTGAGCTCCCGGCGGTCTTCCCGGAGAGGGAGCGCCGACTGGGGGCTGCTGTTGAGAATCTATTTTCCCTGGAGAGAAATGAAGAGCGTAGGTTGAGCCCGCTAGGTTTGGGAGTGGTGGTCGGGGCGGGGGTGGGGCAGGGCAGGCCCAGAACCTGACCACGTCTTTGTTCTTGCAAGGAGGGGAAGCCCCTGGCTCCTCCAAAGTTTCCCCGAAGTTGTGTTTCCACCCCACCCGACCCAGGGCTCCCAATGCGCGGCCACGTTCCGCCACCACCTCGGCGATGTAACCGAGCCCGGCGGGACAATGGGCCCCGGACAGGACAATCCCGTTCAGCCTCTTTGTACCTTTTAATTTGCCTCATTCAAATGCAGTGGTTTGGCTAAGCCCGGTATTAAAAAGCCTGGGTAGTCGTACTTAATGTTTGGGGGGGGGGGGAATATACATATATATATATATATAAAAATCCAGGGGGCTCCAGACAGTTTTACAAGATATTATGAACAACCCACGAAACTGCTTTAGCTTTCCTCCCGGAGGACTGAATTGAACCTGGAACTCCAAATAAAAATAGTTTGACAAAAGTATCAGTCATTTAATTAGGAGATGTGCCAATCAAGTGTAAAAAAGAGCGGAAGTAACCGAAAGTTAGTTTTCATTAGCATTTCTATGGTTGCCTTCCACGAATGTGTGCCGAGAGCTAAGTCGCTTGTAAGCAATATGCTCTCAACACATTCGGAGTCCCTTCACCGTAACCCAGAAAGGGAGACAAAAAGAGGCGGCGCCAGTTTGTTCCTGGGCGCGAGAAGGTCCCAATTAGTTCCTGAGACCGCAGAGCAGTCTGCCCGGGAAGTTAGAACTCGGCAAAGGCGCCACGGGACGGGGAGGGCTAGGGGTGGAGGGTCACTGACAGCGCTTCTTTTTCGAGCGGCCGTTGCGGGGCGTCGCCCCTTTCCCTGGCCGCCACCTCTCTCCCTCGCGCTGTTAAGTCCGTTGCGTGACGGGGTATCGCCAGTGGAACCCACGCCCGCCTGCTTTTTCCCTTACCTGTGTGGGTTCTCTTGTGGATCTTGAGGTTCTCAGAACGGGCAAAGATCTTCCCGCAGCCCGGGAAGGGGCATGGGAAGGGCTTCTCGCCCGTGTGCACTCGGATGTGGTTGACCAGTTTGTACTTCGCCTTGAAAGACTTGCCCTCCCGGGGGCACTCCTCCCAGTAGCAGACGTGGTTGTTCTGCTCCGGGCCCCCCACATGCTCCATAGTGACATGTGTCACCAGCTCATGCATGGTGCTGAAGGTCCGGTCGCAGCTTTTCTTGGGCCGGCTCAGCTGAGCCTCGTCGATCCACTTGCACGACAGCTCCTGCTTGATGGGCTGCCGCATATAACGGAAGAAGGCGCCGGGCCCGTGGTGGGCCGCCACGTTCACGCCCATGTTCATGTTCATGGGGCTGTAGTTAGGGAACTGCGCGCCGGCCGCGTAGGGGTCCGTGCGCGGGCTGGCCACTGGGCGGTATGGGTCAGCACGGCCGAACAGCTCCCCACGCAGCCCCAGGTGGACCTGGTTGTTGTCCACGTGCCCTGTGGGCGACGGGTGCCCAGCGCCCTGCTCATGCAGCCCAGGAAAGAGCAAGTAGCCAGGGGGCTCGGGGATGCCAGGTGGAGCATGCAGGCTGCTCGCCGAGCCGGCGAAGAGCCCGTGCTGCC